GGCGTGGTGGCGGGCGCCTGTAGTCCCAGCTACTCGGAGGCTGAGGCGGGAGAATGGCGTGAACCCGGGAGGTGGAGCTTGCAGTGAGCCGAGATCGCGCCACTGCACTCCAGCCTGGGCGACACAGCGAGACTCGGTCTCAAAAAAAAAAAAAAAAAAAAGAAAAAAGAAAAGATACATACATGGAGAAGTCACACTAGTTTCCATCCAACCTTTCCTTAGCATCCACTTTAGGCAACTATTTGAATCAGTTTCTTGTATTTCTAGTGTTTTGTTTTTTTTTAAATAGAACTATATTTTCTCTCCTTTCTTACATATAAAGTAGCATCATATAAATTATAGTACGAATTGGTTTCTGCAGGTAGTAACTGTCTGACTATAGAACTAAAATATTTTTGAGTTGGAAGGAGCCTTATATTTTAATCCATTTGCTGTGGTTTAAATGTTTGTCCCCTCTGGAACTCATGTTTAAATTTAATCCTCCATGTGGCAGTATGGAGAGGTGGGGCCTTTAAGAGTCGACTGGGTCATGAGGGTTCTGCCATGGATTAATCTATGGATGAATGGGTTATCAGGGGAGTGGGAATGGTAGCTTTACAAGAAGAGGAAGAGAGACCTGAATTTAGCAATCTCAGCCTCCTTGCCATGTGATGCCTTGCACTGCCTTGGGACTCTGCAGAGTCTCCTCCAGCAAGAAAGCCCTCACCAGATGCCGGCCCCTTGGCCTTGGACTTCTCAGCCTCCATAACTGTAAGAAATAAATTCCTTTTCTTTATAAAGTACTCAGTTTCATACATTCTGTTATAAGGAGCAGGAAATGGACTAAGATACCATTTATTCAAAAAACTTTGAGCTCCTCTGTGCCAGGTGGATGATAAGTAAACACCAGATGGCTGGAGATGAATGACTTCCTTTTCTCAAGAAGCCCGTGGTCTGGTGAGAAATTCCTTCAGCAGAAGCCCTACTTTATCACTCTGCAGCCTCGGCTGAAATGGGAAATGGGGCTGCTGACTACTTTCAGAGATTGTTCTATTTACTACGCAGTTTCTGTTTTTGTTTTCCTAATGATGAGCTGAAACGTTCCTCTTTGTAACTTGTATTTTTTCTGGTTTAGACTTTTATATCATGATGAAATGATGAGATCATTTATTATGTTTCCTTTGATTTTGATAATTCACAAGCTAGACATAGATCACCAATATAAGAATTTTCTTTCATTCTCCAGTTAATCAAGAGATACACTCACCCATTTGACTAATAATGTTTTTTAGGGTTTGAGTGATGAACTTGTCCTTGTGGATGCTGATGAAGGCAAACTGAAGGGTGAGACAATGGATCTTCAACATGGCAGCCCTTTTATGAAAATGCCAAATATTGTCTCCAGCAAAGGTTAATGTCATAGTTAAATACTATAAATATTCTAATATACATGAACAAATATCCAAGAAAATCATCTTTATTTCTTTTGACCTCCGCAGTTTTTACAGATAAGGCTGGTTGCTCCCTACTCTGTGCTCTCATAACATGTTCAGATCCTTAGGTTATACTTTGCAAGGTTTCCCACAGCACCAGACTGAGTTCCTTGTGAGCAGCAGTAATAGCAGTTACCATGACAGCTGCAATGAACTGATTGCCTAACTGTGTGTGAGACATTGACCTAAGCACAACTCTATTTAAGAGATGATGTACCTCTGAACTAAGGTTAATTAAAAGTGATAGGACTGGGCGTGGTGGCTCACGCCTGTAATCCCAGCACTTTGGGAGGCCAAGGAGGGCGGATCACCTGAGGTTGGGAGTTTGAGACCAGCCTGACCAACATAGAGAAACCCTGTCTCTATTAAAAATACAAAAATTAGCCGGGCATGGTGGTGCATGCCTGTAACCCCAGCTACTCGGGAGGCTGAGACAGGAGAATCGCTTGAACCCAGGAGGCAGAGGTTGTGGTGAGCCAAGATCACGCCATTGCACTCTAGCCTGGGCAACAAGAGTGAAACTCTGTCTCAAAAAAAAAAAAAAAGTGATGGAGTAGGGATTTGAACTCAGTTCTGTTTGAGTCCAAAGCCTAAGCTCTTCACTACTGTACTTTATTCACTTGGCACCTGGGAGATAATTATTTGAACAAATGAATGAACCAACAATTCCCTATTCAAAGGTCTGTTCACACCACATCTATCTCTCAATATTCTTGCCAGACTAATCCATATTTTGACCTCTTTGTCTAAATAATACAAAAGGTATTTTAGGAGATGAGGTGTTTTTTTGAGACAGTGTCTTGCTATGTTGGCCCAGGCTGGACTTGGACTTCTGGGCTCAAGTGATCCTCTTGGTCTCAGCCTCCAAGTAACTGGGACTACAGGTGCACTACTGCACCCAACTTAGGAGGTTTTTGTTTTTGGAAATGGAGTCTTGCTCTGTCACCCAGGTTGGAGTGTTGTGGTGTGATCTTGGCTCATTGTGACCTCTGCCTCAGTCTCTCTTGTAGCTGGGACTACAGGCACCCGCCACTGTGCCTGGCTAATTTTTGTATTTTTAGTAGAGATGGGGTTTTGCCACATTGGCCAGTCTGGTCTTGAACTCCTAACTTCAAGTGATTGACCCACCTCAGCCTCCCAAAGTGCTGGGATTACAGGCGTGAGCCACTGCGCATGACTTAGGTTTTTTTTTTTTATTAAAAAAAAATGTACAAGGGAAACTTAGTGCTAATTTCCTGAAATTAAAAAGTAGTCTGGGCATACCAGAACATTTAAGGGAACCTGCTCTTTGGTAAACATAGTGTGGTGATTGAAGTGAACAGGAAGTATACTTAAATGCCAGATGTTTTCTTTCATAATCGATTGTTTCTTCTAATCTTTCCCCAGATTACTTGGTCACTGCAAACTCCAATCTAGTGATTATCACAGCAGGTGCACGCCAGAAAAAAGGAGAAACACGCCTTGATTTAGTCCAGCGAAATGTGTCCATCTTTAAATTAATGATTCCCAATATTACCCAATATAGCCCTCACTGCAAACTGCTTATTGTTACTAATCCAGGTCAGTTTTGTTGTTTTACATTTTCAACTTTTCAATTCGGGAGTACACTGTATAGGTTCATTACATGGGTATACTGCGTGATGATGAGGTTTGGGGTAGGACTGCTCCTGCCACCCAGGTAGTGAGCGAAGTACCTAATAGTTTTTCAGCCCTTGCCGTCCTCACTCCCTCCCTGTCTAGTAGTCTCCAGTGTCACTTGTTCCCATCTTTAGGTCCATGTGCACCCACATATTTAGCTCCCACTTATATGTGAGAACATGTGGTATTTGGTTTTCTGTTGTTGCATTAATTAGCTTAGAATAACGGCCTCCAGCCGCATCCACGTTGCTGCAAAGGACATGATTTTGTTTCTTATGGCTGCATAGGTCAGCTTTATTTTCACTGTTCAGTGAAGGAGTTTTTGGGGGTGGGTTTAGTAACTTTGAAGAGAAAAAGAATTTAATGAGTATTAAATCGTAAACTACCAATATAATTCCAGAATCTCTGTTTTGTTAGTGTAATATGTACTTTGCACAGTTGTAATCAGTATATATACTATAATGACTTTAAAAAAATACTAGTGTGAGGCCAGGTGCAGTGGCTCACACCTATATGCCTATAATCCCAACACTTTGGGAGCCCAAGGTGGGTGAAGCGCTTGAATCCAGGAGTTTGAGAACAGCCTGGGCAACATGACAAAACTCCATCTCTACAAAAAAAAATACAAAAATTATCAGGGCATGGTGGAGCATGCCTGTAGTCCCAGCTACTTGGGAGGCTGAGGTGGGAGGATTGCTTCAGCCAGGGAGGTCAAGGCTGCAGTGAGCCATGATTGCGCCACTGTACTCCAGCCTGGGTGACAGAGTGAGACCCTGTCTCCAAAAAAAAAAAAAAAATTGTGGTGTGTATGGGAAGATAATATGCTTAATCATATGAGTTCAAGATTTATATTCTAAAGGCTGAGGTTTGCTTTCCACATTACTGTTTGAGAAGTGAAAGCAGGGCTATAGTTCCTGCCTGACTCTCCAGAATTGTACTAGACTCCTCACTGGTGCATGTACAAGGTGGACAAACGCAAAATAGACTTTGGAGATAACATGTGCAGGACTGCTGATAGATTGTGTGTAGTGAGGGAAAGGGAGGAATAAAAAATAACTTCTAGATTTTTCCTTTAAGTAACTGAACGCGAATGGTAGTTTCATTTAACTGGGTTGGTAAATTTACCGATCGGGTGGGAGTCAGTGAGGGAAGGAGATGGGGATGTTAAATATAGAGGAGAAAAATCAAGATACCTGAAATGATCAGAGGAAATGTCAAACAGCTAGAGATTATGAGTCTGGAGCTTAGTAGTTTAGGGATATTCAAATTACTGTATTCTAAAATCATTTGGAATAGTTTTTCTCTGTGCGACCAAAACTGAGTTGAGTGCATGATTAAGGTTATTCATTTTAATTTCGATGCTGAAGAACTATTTAACTTTTGTTTCACAGTTTTATAAAATATTCACATGGCTCCAACATCAATTCTAGAGAACAGGAATTATTCAAAGTCTCCAGCTTCTGTCCCTGTGCCCTTTCCCCTATAGCCTCCATCCCTTTATAGGTAACCATTTACATTTTTTATGGTTTACAGCTTTTTGTTACTACATATGTTTTTCTCCATCTTCTTTCATTTTTAACTTAATATATCACGAAGCTCACTCCATAGTAGTATTTATAAATATGTTGATTACTGTAGCTTTGTGGTAAGTTTTGAAATCAGGATGTGTTAAGTCCTCTGACTGTTCTTTAAGATTATTTTGGGCCAGGCATGCTGGCTCACACCTGTAATCCCAGCACTTTGGTTATGGGTTTTTTGTTTGTTTGTTTTAGACGGAGTCTCGCTTTGTTGCCAGGCTGGAGTGCAGTGGCACCATCCCCGCTCACCACAACCTCCATCTCCTGGGTTCAAGCGATCCTCGTGCCTCAGCCCCCAGAGTAGCTGGGATAACAGGCACACGCCACTACTGCCCGGCTAATTTTTGTATTTTTTGTAGAGACGGGGTTTCATCATGTTGGCCAGGCTGATCTCGAACTCCT